GGACAGAAGAGGCAGTAGGATACCTGGAACTGGAGTTATGAACAGTTGTTAGCTGCCATGTTGGTGCTGGAATTTGAACCTGGATCTTCTACAAGAACAGCCAGTGTTCTTAACCGCTGAGCCATCTTTCCAGCCTCTTGATGCCCTCTTCTGACTTCGATGGGCATTGCACAACACGGGTGCACTTACATACAGGCAATACACTCATACACACAAAATAAAAATAATAAATAAAATATTTTTTTTAAAAAAGAAAAGTAGTTGTTTTTCCCCCAAAGCCATAAGTTTACCTAGTCAAATTTGTGGTGGTGATATTCATAACTCATTCTCAAGAAGCTTATGTAAGTATTCTTCATTTGTTTATATAATTAGTGATTGTTGCTCATGGCTGACTCATATGAAGGAGTAAGTTCAGGGATATTTGCACCCAAGTCTGCCTTTCTGATCTCAGCCAGAGTGGTGATAGTCATTGACTTTTTTTTATGTGTATGTGTGTATTGCCTGCATATAGGTAAGTGTACCCATGTCATGCAATGCCCTTGAAGGACACAGAAGAGGGTGTCAGACCCCCTGGAACTGGAGTTATGGACAGTTGTCAACTGCCATGTGGGTGCTGTAGAACCAAACCCCAGTCTTCTGCAAGAACAGCCAATGTTCTTAACTGCTGAGCCATCTCTCCAGCCCCTGTCATTAATTTTTTTTTTTTCTTTTTGTCCTTTTTTTTTTGGTCTTTTTTGAGACAGGGTCTCCCTGTAGCCCCAGCTGTCCTGGAACTCGCTATGTAGACCCAGCTGGCCTTGAACTCACAGAGATCTGCCTGCCTCTGCCTCCTGAGTGCTGGAATTAATTCTTTTTGTCCTTTTAGAGACAGGATCTCCCTGTAGCCCCAGCTGGCCTGGAACTCGCTATGTAGGCCAGGTTGGCCTTGAACTCACATTAAGGGCGTGGACTACCACGCCTGGCCAGCCATTGACTTTTAAGCTATACAGATATTAATATACATCTTTTGTGTTACAGAACATAAGACTTTTTTTTTTTTTTAAATATAGGCTCAGGCTGGAGAGATGGCAGCTGTTAAGAACACTGGTTGTTCTTGCAGAAGACCCAGGTTTGAATCCTAGCACCCACATGACAGATGACAGTTAACAACTGTCCTTAACTCCAGTCCCAGGGGATCTGACAGCCTCTTCTGACCTCCGAGGGCATTGCATGACACAGGTGCACTTACCTACATGCAGGCAATACACGCGTACACATAAAATAAAATAAAAAATAGATACAGGCTCTTACCAGGTAACTCTGGTTGGCCTAGGACTTACTATGTAGACCAGACCAACCTGAAACTCACAAAGATCTGCCTGCCTCTGCTTCTGGAGTGCTGCGATAAAAGCTGTGTGTCACCACATCCATTATGACTCTACCTTCTTTTGGGACTTGTTGGATTACAGCCCTACCACCCTACCTACCATTGCTATTACACTTGGCTACGTTCAGTCCCATGCTAGACAGTAGTTAATAGGCTTCATAACTTGGAGTGAATGATAGTAAATCTGTTTATGATTCTGAAAACCCAGCAGTTTGTGCTTTTTCTCTTCCCAACAACAGCCCACTTTGACAGAAACCAGAACAAGGAAATAAGTTGGCAACAAGTTCTCACTGCCCAGCAGATTGATTTCAACCCCTTTGGCCTGACCTTTCAGAAACACCCTCTTATGTTCTGACTCTGTCCTGTCTGCTTACTCTTTAACCTTGCTTCCAACTCTTTCTCCAAGTAGTTACTCAATAAATTTGCTTGTGAAATAGAAGCAAAACAAAATAAGACCTAGTATTAAGGTCATTATCAGGACTAGGGGTATAGCTCAGTGAAAAATCAGAACAAAACAAGACCATTATAGAACTAGGACAGAGGAATCAGCAGAAACACCAAGCTGAAGTGTCCCAGTCCCAAGTGTAGTTGGTGTGCAGGCCAAGCAGCAGTGTTGATTTGATGTAGGTACTTGTTTAGCAATGGCTATCCCCTCAGGGAATTTGCTAGCCTACCAGCTGTTCATTTGGGGGGAGGAATTTGGTAGTTTTCTCTTTTAGGAAGGAAGAATTTAGGGTTGTGAGTTGGGACAGATGTGAAAATTCTGTTCATCCCTCTTTGAGAGTGTTGAGTGCTTAAAAGAAAGATAGTTCTTTTAAAGGCAAACAGGGGGCTGGAGAGATGGCTCAGTGGTTAAGAGCACTGACTACTCTTACAGAGGACTTGGATTCCGTTCCTGGCACTCACATGGCTGCTAACAACTGTCAGTAATTCCAGTTCCAAGACATCCTCTTCTGTCCTCTGTGGGCATTGCACACACACTTATATTCATGTAGGCGAAATACTCAGATACATAAAAAAAATAATAAAGGCAAATAGAATTGCTGGCTTTCCTCTGCACTGCTTCAGATAGAATTTGGAGAGGACTGATTTGGGAGGGCAGCTAGTTAGACTTGGTGTTTTACTTTGAATCCCCCCCCCGTAAGTCTGTTTATTGTTAAGATTTAAAATGATAAACTGGCATAGTATTTACTTGGCAGTGCAATGTTATGATCCAAGGACATAGTTCCATGCATGAAGGGACTCAGATGATACTCCCCTGATAATTCCACAGGATAATCCAGCATCATAAGCTATTCTTCATAGAATTGGACTTCTATCAAATTGACACAGTATCCCCATGTAAAATATTTCCTATTCTATTTGAACACTTCTTTTTTATTAAATTTTATTATTTTTATTTTATGTGTATGCATGTATTGCCTGCATGTAGGTAAGTGCACCCGTGTCATGTAATGCCCACGGAGGTCAGAAGAGGCTGTTGGATCCCCTGGGACTGGAGTTATGGACAGTTGTTAGCTGCCATGTGGGTGCTGGGATTTAAACCTGGGTCTTCTGCAAGAACAACCAGTGTTCTTAACCGCTGAGCCATCTCTCCAGACCCTATTTGAACACTTTCATTGAAAGGTCAGAAATCAGTTTGAGAAACCACCATGTGAAGTCTGTCTTTAATTTTAAAAATATTATTATTCATGTGGAAGTATGTGCAAGTGCACACATGTAGTCAGATGACAACTTTCAAAAGCCCATTATTTCCTTCCACTATGGTTTCCGAGGATCAAGCTCAGGTTGTCAGACTTGTGTTATTGGCAAGTGCTTTTGCTCACTGAGCCATCCTGCCACCTGTTTCTTTGTGTTTTGAAATGGTCTTGTTATGTGGCTTTGGCTGGCCTACGACTCACTGTCTCTAACTTGCAGTGATACTCTAGCCATTATCTCCCAAGGGCTGGAATTGCTACTATGTCTGGCTCCATTTTGAATTTTCTTATGGAGATGTAGAGATTAGAATAGCTGTCAAGTCATTAATCACACAGACTCACTTCTTTGGCATACCTTTTCAGTACTGGATTAGTTACACATTGCCTAGCATGTGTGACCCAGTAGCTGTCACTTTTAAGATAGTATCTGAGTAAGACATCACCACATGGTTTTTTGTATATGTTTCTTCATTATCCAGCAATCACCACTTGGTCGGTCTCTATTTCTATGGCATCTTTGGTTTCTGTTTAATTATTTCACATAATGTGTCCCCATCTTTACCTGTCAGAATCAGTAACCTTTTCCATTGACCACGGAAGCCTGGCAAATTAATGTTGTCACTAAAATGAGAATATTCCCAAACTGCTTCAAGAATAGAATTTTAACGTTTTTATTAGGTGAATCTTGATCGTAAACCATATCATCGGTGCCTTACTAAACCAGGCACACATCGATATCTATCAATGGCTCCTCCTCAAACTATGGTTGGTAATCACCTCACCTGCCTAGTACTGTCCTAGCTCCATTCTTTCATTCTTGTTTTGTTCAAAAGACTGTCAGTTTCTTTTTTGCCTTGTGCATCACTGTCATAAAGCTGAAGATCCAGCAATCATTCCATGTGGATAAATTCTCAAATTGGCAACACTGCCATTTTTATTTATGTAGGTTAGTAAATAGCCATGGTCCTACTAGATGTGCATTGACCCTGCTTGTAGAAAATTGACTAGAGACTTTTTAGAATGGTTTCACCTATCAGCTTTGATGCTAAACATGAAAGAGAGCATGTTGTGCCATCTTGCTGCCATAGTGAGGAGAGGCCCTGTACCACACCTGGGGAGGCAGCCATGGGATACTGGGGCTATACAGTATGTCAGGCTGTGATTGGCAGAGCTTCTTTCTTAATTTAACTTAGTCTTATTGTATTCTATTCTAGTCTACATCCCCAGACCCAAAAGCAGTAACTTCTATAAATGGTGCTTACTATGTGTATTTTATTTATTTTATAATTTATGTGTATGAGTGTTATGCCTGCATGTAGGTAAGTGCACTTTTGTCATTCAGTGCCTGTGAAGGACAGAAGAGGCTGTTGGATCCCCTGGAACTGGAGTTACAGACAGTTGTAGCTGCCATGTGGGTGCTGGGATTCGAACCTGGGTCTTCTGTAAGAACAGTCAATGTTCTTAACCTCTGAGGCATCTCTCCAACCCCCACATTATTTCATTAAAAAAAATACAATTATTGTTTGTTTTGTTTGAGACAGATCTCAAGTAGCCAGGCTGGCATGGAGGTATGGAATTTACTATGTAGCTGAGGATAATCTTGAACTTCTTATCCTTTTGTCTCTACCTTCCAACTGCTAGTATTATGGGCATGGATGTACACCATACCTGGCTTAGGTTTTTTTGTTGTCTGTGACAAGGTCTCTTTAGGAATTCCTGGCTGGCCAGGAACTGACTGTGAGACCAGGCTGGCCTCAGACTTGAAGGACTCTTTCTTCCTCTGCCTCCCAAATACTGAGATTACAGGTGTGCACCACTATGTCAGGCTGTGGCTTAGTTTTAAAATTATTATTGTTGGTTCATATTAATTTTACATATTTGCTTTAGTTCTTTATTTAGACTGTCATATAATTATCACTATAACCATTCTTTTTTTTTTTAATATGGAATGCTTCATGAATTTGTGTGTCATCCTTATGCAAGGGCTCTGCTAATCTCTGTATCATTCCAATTTTAGTATATGTGCTGCCAAATTGAGCACCACTATAACCATTCTTACAGTTCCCTTTTTATTATTAAGGAGCATGAAGCTGTAATAACAGGCAATGCTAGAAGTTAAACTTCAGCATAATCAACCTTTTCACTGTTATCTCTTAGGAAATGGTAGCTTACGATTTCATGGTATTCTGAAATCTGTTTCAATATGAAAGAGACCTTGAGGAACCTAGACTGCTAATAGGGTGAGGAGGAGGTTTTGCTAAGCCAGAGAAGGTGAATCTGTCTGACACATTCTGAATTCCTTGACTTGGCTACTCACTGGTAAGATAGATCGTTTGTTGTTAGTGGTGGCTGAGTGATAGAATGGCCACCTCTGATAGGCTTTTCTTCCATTTTAGGGACAACGGATTCCTAGTTTACTCATCAAGACTCACAGAGAGGACCGGGACAGTAGTAGAGGGCTTGCCTGACATGTGTGAGGCCCTAAGTTCAATTCCCAAGGTAGCTATGATGGCCTATGCCTTTAATCCTAGCACTTGGGAGGTTGAGGGAGAAGGATGAGGAGTTAAAGTTCATCCTCCATTCCTACTACATAGAGAGTTAAGAGGTCAACCTAAGCTATATGATACCGTGTTCCCAACAAAAACAAAATAGTAACCTTGCTTTACCAAAGCCTCTAGGATTGAATTTTCTTATTCCATAAACAGCTTGAGACCACTCTGTGTGTGTATGTATGTCTGTTTTTTAAAGACAAGGTCTTAGTAAGTATCCCCTGGCTGGCCTGGAACTCACTATGTAGACTAGGCCGGTCTTGAACTCACAGAGATCTTGCCTGCCTCTGACTCCTGAGTATTGGGACTGAAGGTGTACACCACCACACTTAACCCTGATAAATTTTTAAAAGATAAACAAATGAGTCAAATCTCACAGAAAAATCCTAAATAATAAATATAGACGGAAAGAGAAAAATAGAAAACCATGATTAAAAAACCATAATAGAGCTGGGTGTGATAGCACATGACTTTAATCCCAGCACTCAGGAGGCAGAAGCAGGCATATCTCTGTGAGATCAAGACCATCCTGGTCTACATAGAAAGTTCCCGGTCCAATTCGGGCTACAAGGAGAACCTGTCTCAAAACTAAAACCAAAACCACAGTAATCATTTCTCTAGGTAAAATCTTGATGAATGTTAAATTTGTTGGTGAATGTTCAGAAATGTTTTAAGAATTTTTATGAGTGTTTTGCCTGCATGTATGTAAGTGTACTACATGTATACAGTACCCACAGAGACCAGAAGAGGGCTTTGGAATTCCTGGAACTGGCATTATGGATGATTGTAAGCTGACATGTGGATGCTGGGAACTGAACCTGGATCCTTTCCAAGAGCAGCTGGTACTCTTAATCACTGAGCCTTTGCTCTAGCCCTAGCTAGTGAACCTTTAAAAAAATTGTTTTGTGTATGAGTGTATTTATTGCCTGCATGTATATAAGTGCACCCATGTTGTGCAGTGCCCATGGAGGCCAGAAGAGGGTATCAGATCTCCTGGAACTGGAGTTATGGATGGTTGTTAGCAGCCATGTGGGAGCAGGGAACCAAACCTGAGTCCTCTGCAAAAGTACCCAGTGTTCTTAACCACTGAACCATCTTTCTAGCCCCCAACTGGTGACCTTTTAAGAAAGTACTTTTAGTTCCAATATTTCTCTTCGTGCGTGTGTGTGTGTGTGTGTGTGTGTGTGTGTGTGTGTGTGTGTGTGGTAGGTTTAGCGTACATCTAGAAATTCATTGAATTCCTTGACACTTCCAGGAAATTTAGCTTAATTCACTCTGAATGTGGACTGAACTTAGTGAGTTGCTTCTAATGAATAAAATACAGGAACAAGAATTTTGCATAAGGAGAAACTCAGCAGTCTCCCTCTACTTTAAAAAAAATTATTAATTTTATGTGTATGAGTGTATTACCTGCATGTATGTAAGTGCACCCATGTCATGCAAAGACTGTGGAGGCCAGAAGAAGGTATCAGATCCCCTGGAACTGGAGTTACTGACATTTGTTAGCTGCCATGTGGATGCTGAGAATCGAACCTGGGTCTTCTGGAAGAACAGCAAGTGTCCTTAACCTCAGAGCCATCTCTCCAGCCCTGCCCCCCCACCTTTGTTTTTTTAATTTTTTAAAAATTTAATAACCACATGATTGGAAGAAGCATTTCATTACAGCTTTAACATATTCAGTAACACACTCCAGAGCAAGGATACATCTCTTTCAAAAGTGGCTGTAAATTTTTAGGTTCACAGTTGAATTACTACCGTTATACAATATTGAACTCAGTATAAACCCTGTAAGGTATAAAATTGAATGAGTTTTAACCCTTTGAAGAAGATCTCCATTTCATTTTAAAATATGCTGTTTCTTTTTTTTCTTTTGGTCTTTTTGAGACAAGGTCTCCCTGTAGCCCCAGCTGACCTGGAACTCACTATATAGACCAGGCTGGCCTTGAACTAACAGAGATCCACCTGCCTCTGCCTCCCGAGTCCAAGTGCTGGGATCAAAGGCATGTGCGTCACCATACTCAGCCCAGCACTCTTCCTGGCTTATGTTGGGAATGTAAACAGGCAGGAGGGTGGAGGACTTTTCTCTGGGGAAATCACTGAGTGAAAGAGAGAAACACTACCTCTAAGGGCCTTTGGAAATCTCCCTGACAGAATGTTTCCCCACTTCGACACCCTGCAGAGAAGCTAAATAGATCTTTCAATAACCAGAACGCACACAGTGATTCTCCCCATCTTCCCTAACGTGTTGATTTTCTGTGTGTATATCATACTGAACATCCCACACACTCTTATTCATCTATGTACTCACTTCGCAAATGGCACCTTCCCATAGCCTCCCCCCTCCCACATGCTGGAGCCCACATACTCTGTCATCCCCATTATTGTCCTCTATGTTGTTGACACCCCCAGCCATTCTCCAGTGCTTGTCTGTCTGCTGAATCTAGTCAGCCAATCTAGAGATCCTTGTTTTTGGAAGATCAGCTGTTCCTCATCTAGCAGCAATCAGTTGTCAATATTCCTTTAGATAAGATTGGGGAATGAACTGCTGTTCATTTTCCCAGTTCTATGCTGGGTTACTGTCTGGGAGTCTCTTGGGCCACCCTGGCTAACAACTCAAAAGAAAGTATCTCCTATCTGGCATTGTTGCTTGTTAAGCAGCCTTTAACTATACATATGGACTCTTAAAAATTATATTGGGACTCTCCCGCCCTCAGGCCTCTCTGGGGGTAAGTCTACCATGCAGTCCTCTGCGCCTTGACTCCGCCAGCCGCCCTCACCCTTCCATCTCCCCCGCTGTTCTCTACTCCTAGCTTGGGCCCTGTGCCATTCCTAGTCTTGGGGCCCCAGACACCTGGGGAGCCACTGCTGATTCCTGACCCTGTTCACCCCCACGGCTCAGATAAACCAATTTATTTTTATTCTTAAGGTTGTTTGAGGATCTGTTCCTTAGGGGTAACATGGGCTTGGGAGGAGCCCCTAGCTCCTTTCTTTTACCAGTTCCATCTATGTGAAGATAAGTCAACGGTCCTGCTCGACCATGGCTGCCTTCGCTCAGAAGCATGGAGGAAATGTTTACTCTGTGTTGACTCTCCTCTTTGTAGACTGGACACTGGTTCAGGTCCATCTGGTGGGGTCTCCTTGGCCTCCTTGCTCAAGAGGACAGGTGATTCACCACCATTATAGGACATTTTGAGAGATTCAATTAGTCCCCTGGAACTAGTCAACCTAGAAGAGCAAGGAGCAAAAACTTTCCTTTTTGTCCCTCTGACCAGATCCCCATTTCCCCCTTTCTCCCTTAATAATACCCTTCTCGTATGGTCCCACCTCTTTTGAGCTCCTTCTTTCCCTTTATCCTCTAGGTTCCTTGTATATCCTTCCCTCCCTAACACCTGTTTTCTACTGTTCTTCTCTTTCAGATTCCTTACTTCCCTGATTCCTCTTCATTATCCTGGTTCCTGTAGTTATTTTGTGATACATATTCAGTTTTAAGGATTTGGGTCTAGGATCCATGTTTGGAACTTACCCCGTTTTGTTTTTTTTTTTTTTTTTCTGAGTCTGTGTTACTTCACTTAGTATAACAGCTTCTCATTCCATCCATTTACCTGCAGATTTCATGATTTCATCTTTCTTTACTGCTGAGTAAAATTCCATCGTATAAATGAACCACATTTTCATTATCCACTTGTCAGTTGAGGGACACTTAGGTTGCTTCCATCTCTTAGCTATTGTGAAAAGGGCAGCAACAAACGTGGATGTACAAGTTTCTCTGCAATAGGATGAGTTCTTTGGAGTTCTCCACATTGCTTTCCATAGGGGTTGAACAAGTTTACAGTCCCACCAGTAAATTTATTTGTTATTACTTTTAAAAATATTTTATTATTTTTATTTTATGTGATGAGTCTATTGTCTGCATATATGTGAGTATACCCATGTCGTGCAATGCCTGAGGCAGTTGTTAGCTGCCATGTGGGTGCTGGGATTTGAAACCTGGCCTTCTGCAAGAACAACCAGTGTTCTTGACTGCTGAGTCATCTCTCCAGCCCCTTATTTATTTTTATGTGTATGAGTGTATTGCCTGCATGTATATAAGTGCACCCATGTTGTGCAAAGACTGTGGAGGCCAGAAGAAGGCGTCGGATCCCCCAGAACTGGAGTTACTGACATTTGTTAGCTGCCATGTGCATGCTGGGAATCGAACCTGGGTCTTCTGGAAGAACAGCAAATGTTCTTAACCTCAGGGCCATCTCTCCAGCCCTGCCCCCCTTTTAAAAAAGACTTTTTTTTTTTTTTTGGTCTTTGTGAGACAGTGTCTCCCTGTAGCACCAGCTGACCTGGAACTCACTATGTGGACCAGGGTGGCCTTGAACTCACAGAGATCCCCTCTGCCTCCCGAGTGCTGGGATTAAAGGCATGCACCACCATGCCCGGCTTAAAAAAGACATTTTAAAATAGATTTTAAACACAAAAGGGCTAAGAGGAAGAAAGATGCTCT